ACCGGTACTGGAGGTCAGATACTGCCACAAGACAGAGATGAGTGCGTAGAGGTGTGCGAGTCATTCGGGTGACTTTTCCAAGCTACGAAACTGACAAAGTGAAATTTTCCAGTAACACTAGGAAAATGGGCTTGGAAATCACTTCCTTCAATAACCAACCTCTCCCAGCCTACATCTTTTTCCTGTGCTGGATGCTCCCTGCCCTCAAACACTGGACTCCAAGTTCTTTAGTTTTGTCACTTGGACTGGCTCTCCTTGCTCCTCAAGCTTGCAGGCAGCCTATTGTAGGAGCTTGTGATCGTGTAAGTTAATGCTTAATAAACTCCCCTTTATATATATGTATATCCTGTAAGTTCTGTCCCTCTAGGGAACGCTGACTAATACACAACCTCTCATCTCTGTCCACATGAGGGAACCCAGACGATCAGAGCCACACAGAACAAAGGAACCTTAAGGATGGGCAATCTCATTCTACTTCATCATGCATTTGAGGAAACTGAGATCCAGGGGAGGGATGTGACTGGTCAGAGAGTCACAGTGTGTTTAATGGCAGGACCACGATGAGAACACATTTCTCCCAACTCTTAATCCAAGGCCTTTTACATGTTACATGCTCAATAGAGCACCATATCTTGATGCTTAGGAGCAGAGGCTCTAGTGCTAGGGTGCCTGAGTGAGAACCCTGGCTCCACCAGTTAACTCAGTCACACTGGGGCAGTTATTTCATTCCCTCAAGCCTCAATTTGCTCACCTGGGAAGTGGAGATAATATTTGCACTTATCCTATAGAGTTGTGGAGACTAAAGGAGAGAAAAAGAACAAATAATGCACCTACGACAGTACCTGACCCATAGTAAGTGTGCAGTAATGTTAGCTACAGTCCTGTTCTTATTAAGGAAGGTCAGGGTGGCACCCTGGAGAGAGGAAAAGAAAGTGCAGGTATGGTTTATGGGCTGAAGGGGATGTTCAAAATGCCCTAGCAACTTCATATTATTATTTTGCCTTCAGACTTCTCAAGTTGTGGCAATTCTGAGTCAAAAGCAGGTTGCTTTGACATCAGTTCTGACCTAAAAGACGTCACAACCTCTACACCTCCTTACCTATCACACCAGCTGCCTCTGCTGACTGTTAGTGAAGAAAGGATGGTGGAGATGCTGTGCATGCTGGAAGTGCCGTGAGAATGCGGTAGGGATTTTTAATTTGCTTGTTCGTGAGAGCTCTTTTTTTTAAAATTTTAGAAGGGAAAGGAAGGGGAAGAGGGAAGGAGTAAAGGGCAAAAGGTTGAAAAATTATAGGGACAGGAAATTTCAACACCTATTCATTCATGAATTCTCTATACAGTGTGCAGTCCCTGGTAGCCACAGCCTCTGAAGAGTACAAGCTGAGGAAAGAGATACCCTTTTCAGTTTAGCTGAGTGGATCCCAGGGAGGCTGGGCTTTGGTCTCCACAAGGCCTCATCACTGCTGTCTTCCCTCTCCTGACCAGCCCTGCTCCATCTTCCTTCTCCACATCTGTGCAGATCACCTGCCGAATACCTGAGAAACATAACCCTCAACAGTATCTTCCTGTTTGTACTATGCCCCATTTGTGTCCTTAAAAAAAAAAAAAAAAAGGAAGAGAATTTAAAAACCTGCTTCAGATACAAGGTCTTCCCATTACATATAGATACTCCTATCCTCCAAATTCCTTTCTTGATGGTAATCTACAGGGTTTGGTTAAAAAGCATGGTCACCTTGGCTCTGTTCCCAGGCCACTGTCCCTCTCTCTGGTTCCTTCAGCCTTTTTTTCTTTTGTAGACCACAGATAGCTCAAGATTTGGTAATCTGACAGATAATGCCCAGTCCCTGGCTCGGCTGAATCCTTCACTCCCCACAGTGCTGAGCCCAGACAACACCCCAGAGATGTTCTGAAAGACAGGAAAAGCCAGATGGGGAAGAAATGGCTGAGAGCAGAAAAGACATTGAAGAAAAATATATGCATGGTCTGGATTATATGCCCTGATGTGCTTACTCAGTTAAAGCCACACAGGAAGGTTCCGAGAAACTCCTTTCGGCCAAGAGGCCACTGATGTTCTCAGACCCTCTCTGTTCTCAAGTACAACCACCTCTTAACGCTCTTACTCAGCAGATTTTTCAAATCGCTACAGCTATAAAAAGATTACTGCCTCTTATCCCGACCCTAAAGACAATAAGGGAATAAAATGAGAGTTTCTATTAAAAGATTTCGGAAACTAACATACACACATGTACTATTCTAAATGCAAGGCAGTTTCTCTACCTCAACCACAATTGGAAGTTAGCTTAGAATATGATCCTGCGCCTACGGCAAATCTTTTAAAATTTATAAAGAAAAAGCGAAATGTTCATAGTCTTTACCAGACTCAACTATCCATAACCTGGAAGACAAGACATTAAACATTCAGGTATTGGGGAGAGAGGGAAAGACAGACTTGAATTCTTTACAAATTTTCTTGAAAGATAAACACTCAGTATATCCAAGGTGGTCCAGAATATGGTTTCGGGTATTTATAAAACAGAATTCTCTCAAGGTCTACTTCTGTAAAACCATGACACCACCACCTGCCTCACCTTCTTCACAGGGCTATTTGTACAGTGAGAATGTAATAGCGCACAGTAAGCACCTTCAATATAACATGTAAGTTGTAACTTGCTTTGAAAATACTCCTGGACTACCCTGGCGACCGCTGCTTCCTACCCGCTTAAGAGAATATAAAGAAAGATGCCTCTAGGGCCACTAAACCCCACCTTCTCAAGCAGCCAAACAAATGAAAAAACCATTTCTGTTTCCACTCTTGAAAGTGCTGCTTAGAAATCATTAGGAGAAATACCTAATGCAGATGACGGGGTGATGGATGCAGCAAACCACTATGGCACGTGTATACCTATATAACAAACCTGCACATGTACCCCAGACCTTAAAGTACAATAAATAAATAAATAATTTGTAAAAAAATTAAAAAAGACCAGAAAAAAAGTACACTCCCTAGTATTAAATAAACTGTTTCTTGACAGGGCAAAAAAAAAAGGACAGCTAACACTTCTAGCTTACTAATCAGATTTATTCCTGAAACTATTTAGGAATCCAGGTAGTCTATTTAAAATGTACATGTCTACTTAAGGAATCCTTATTCCTACTAAGAAATCAGTGTTAACATATACCCGAATAGTTGATGTTTTATATTAACCTAAAATAAAATGCTATACATTAGTGATATTACAATTTGAATGAAGATTGGTTTCTACCAGCTAAAGTGAAGCTAGCTATCGCCATTAAAGTAAAGTTTCTGGAGCTCTTGTGTTAGATAATGACTAAAATCAGTCTGAGTCGTTGATCAGGTTTGTCACATCAAGTTATATGTGAAGTTCTTGAAAGCAATTCAGTTTCTTCAGTACTTTAAAATCTCTCATGCCTTTTGTCTACACAGTTAATCTTTACTATTGTCACAACACAGGAGTTAAGTTAATGAAAGCTTGTATATGAAGAATTTGCTTGCTAAAGTAAATAATAAAATGTAGTACTTAAAAAAAAGAAATTAACTCAAAGTCACTAACAATTAGTTAGGACTAATTATCTCAGGTTTGGAGAGCATAGTGAACCAGACACCCCACTCCTTCCCTCCCTCACCCATCCTGCCTCTTTGCACTCGGACTTTGTGCCAAAAGCTCAGCCAGGAATGCTGTGTGGCCTCAAGTTTCACAGAGAAGGAGGTCTCCCCACACAACTCAGCTCACCTAGGCTGCGGAGAGCCCTCCCTGTCTTAGAGAAAATGTCTTCCAATACCCTTCATCCTCATGTTGAATAAATATGGCATTCTTCTAAAATGGGTAGAAACCAAGGTTTCTCCAAGAAAAGCCACTGAAGAAATCAAATGCTGAGTTCTCTGGCCTACTGTGACCTATAAGTGTAACTCCTTTAGGCATTCAGAATTAAACTGGCAGTTGGAGGAGGCAGTGGCCACCCCTACATCAACTCACAAGTTAGAGCTGTGTCACTAAGATATTACTTTCATTTAATAATACCATATAATGAAAACCTTGAATATGTCTAAGCCTTTCTTGAATCTGCATTTTTCATCTTCCGAATATTTTAGAAAGACCTGAATACTTATTATACAGACCCTTTCCTTCTCCTAAATTGGTCCTTCTAGCTTCCAGGGATAACTACGGATCAAAAGAACAATGAGAAAGACTGAAAATAAAAAACCTGACCTCAAACAGTAGCCCTGCCTTCTCATGATCATTTTGTGAGAGTAGAAAAAACACTGGATTGGGGCTCAAGACCTGTGTTCTAGACTAGCTCTGCTAAAAACTCACTGTGTGACAGAGAGCTAGAGGTTTCACTTTTCTGGGTCTCAGATGCTTCTTTGAAATAACATGGAAAAGCTAAGATTTATGATGTTAGGTAGTTCCAACTTTCACAGTTCTGTTTGCCCTTCTTAGAACTTTCTGCTACTGCCTCATCTTTCAAAGATTTATATTAAAATTCTAATGAATTATCCACAAACAGCTGATGACCACTCTGTACAATGTACTTTTCCCTGAATCCTGCTGACTCACAGAAGACGTATGTAATCATACTTATAAGGCACTGCTCTAAGAGCTTCACAAAGCCTTGGGCCATAGGAGTTACCAACATTCAAACATTTTTGACATATAAAAACAGAAATTTTATGCAGTTCAATCTATTAACTTATTTAATCCTCCTAATAAACCCATAATGTAAGTACTACTATCCTCATTTTTAAAATGAGGAAAAGGAAACAACGAGAAGTTAGTAACCTGCCAAGGCCACACAGCTAGTCGATGATGGGGTCTGAATTTAAACCCAGGCAGCCAGGCTCCCGAGCCTGTAGCCTAACCATAACATTATATTGTGTCTCAACATGGAAAGAAGAAGAGCTTGAAGACTGGAGTCCAGACCAAAGTATTGTCTTGGAAGGAGAGTGAGAGGCTCACACCACAGCCTCTGCTAGGTTTTACCTTTCACTTCAATGGTGGCATTTGCTTTAGGAGCGCTGGCAAAGTGATATACGCAGTGGTATTCGCCTGAATCCTCAGCTCTCGGCTTATTGATCCTGCAGAGATGAGAAGAAAAACCAAGTGAGGAAACTGAAAACAGTCAAAATATACAACAGAAGGAGAATCAAAGGGGTAATCAGGGATCCTGCTCTCCAAACTCAATGTAACTCACCTCCTTCTACCTAAAAGCAAAAATCCCTCTCTGGGCATCCTAAAACATTAATGTCTTGCTCTTTACCAGGCGCCAAGAAAACAAAGATGGAATGGCAACATGGCCCTTAAACTTAGGATGCTCTAGTTTACTGGGAGAAACAAAATGTAAAAGAAGTAATCAAAATAGAAGGACGTCCAAAGTACTATAGTTTATTTTCAGATATACAGTATAAAACCATCACTAAAAACTTCTTGCTCACCTGGTGGTTCCAGTTAGATAAACAAGAACAGAAAACAAACAAACAAAAAGAAACAAAAAGCAGAAGCTTTCTGAGCTTCTCCAAAGACCTTGTTTTGGTATTTCTGTTCTTCCCACCTTGTCTTTTAGTAGCATGCCTTTCACAAGTCTACTCGCTAACAGACCCAGGCATGGTTTAAAAGGAAAAGAAAAGAGCATCAGACACAGAGATGCAGCTAAAAGTCTTATGATCAACCCCAGGGCCCTGCATGTTCTGGCCCCTCTATCCCTAGCTTCATCCCATGCCAGTGTCTAGCTCTTGTGGTCTCTTTTCAGTTTTTCAATGCCCCGAGCTTGTTCCTGCCTCAAAACCTCCACATAAGATGTTCCATTACAAAGAATGAATGCTCTTCTCATCACTCTTAGTCCACCTAACACCTTTTCCCTCAGGTCTTGGCTTACATGTTAGTTTCTTCCAGCCCCAATCTAAATCTCATCTCCTTCCACAAAATTCTCTCTCACTACTCTGTGCTTCTTCACAGTACTTACCATGTGTGTGATTATATATTGATGTGACTTCTCGATTAACGTCTGGCTTCCCAACAGACCAAGTTCTATGTGGATAGGCACTGTTTACTTGGCATACAATCCCATACCCAGGACCTAGTCCGGTACCAGGAATGAGGCAGGGGAATGAATGAATAAATGAATCAATTTTTGAGTGAACACAAACACAGAGCGAATATCTGTGCTTGGGTTCAGATCAAATTAAGCAGAGTAATAGGAAGGAGTGTAAGAAGAGTGTATGGGTCGGGTGCAGTGGCTCATACCTGTAATCCCAGCACTTTGGGAGGCTGAGGTGGGTGGACTGCTCGAGCCCAGAGGTTTGAGACCAGCCTGGGATACATGGCAAAACCCTATCTCTACAAGAAATAAAATATTAGCTGGGAATGGTGGTGCACATGTAGTCCTAGCTACTCAGGAGGCTAAGAGGTGGGAAGATCGCTTGAACCTGGGAGGTCAAGGCTGCAGTGACCTGTGATCACGCCACTGCACTCCAGCCTGGGTGACAGAGCAAGATCCTGCCTCAAAAAAAAAGAAAAAGAAATGTATATGGCCAGAATCGCACTTCATCTCAATCACACAGGGTGATCCCAAGCAAGCTTTCTTACCCCTGCGGGCCAACTACACAACAGCTCAGTACACTCTGGCCTACATGCACATACACCGAACATGTATAGAAAGATTGGTAAAAAAAGGAAAAACACCAGCCTCCAGATCAGAGGAGAAATATTTATATATGGCTGAGCTCTAGCTCTTTTACTTAGGGGTTAAAATATGATACTTGTGATGGTTGAATCTCTACTGCTCTACTTAACATCTAGGAAAAATTCCTGAACTCGACCACCCACTGGCCTAATGCATTTATCCATCTTATATTATTCATTCCAAAAAGGAATCACAGGTTAAGAGATTATGGACAAGAAGTAACATAGTCCAACCCCGGGACTGTCTCAAGATACCGACATGGCAGCACAACAGTCTACGAAAAGCAGTCAAGGTGTCTTCTCCATGTGACACCATGCCTCATCTTACATCAGTATGCTCCCAACTGGAAAACAAAGAAGTAGGCTGCTCTTACCAACAAATGCTCCAGAGTTTAAGGAAGGAGCAGCAGTTCTTTCTTCAGGGTTTAGAGTGAAGTTCTTTGAGTCTAAGTCCCAAAGAAAAGAGCTGCTGCTCCTTCCTCAAACTCAGCCCTGAACTTAAGACTGAAGTTCTTGTAATCCCAGCACTTTGGGAGGCTGAGGCGGGAGAATCACGAGATCAAGAGATCGAGACTATCCTGGCCAACATGGTGAAATCCCGTCTCTACTAAAAATACAAAAATTAGCTGTGCATGGTGGCGTGAGCCTGTAGTCCCAGCTACTCGGGAGGCTGAGGCAGGAGAATTGCTTGAATGCAGGAGGCAGAGGTTGCAGTGAGCCGAGATTGTGCCACTGAACTCCAGCCTGGTGCCTGGCAACAGAGTGAGATTCTGTCTCAAAAAAACAAAAAAAAACACTGAAGTTCTTAGACTTCTAAGTTCTTTGAGAAATACTTGGGAAGACAACTCTCACACTTGAGTCTATGCCTATGGGCTCAAAATCTCCCACACCATTCCTTGGGACTGGCTAGTAGGAAGAAAGTAAAGCAAAGGAATAGGGTCCCTACAGCCTGGGCAGAGGCAGGGTTCTGAAATTGGCTTCTCAGGTTGACTTATTAAGTAGCCCAAGGAATTCATCAGTTGTTATTCCACGAAATGTGGAATCCCTGAAAAACTCTAGAGAGACACAATACCCTTGGAGAGATGAGGGAAAAAAAAAAAAAAAAAAAGAGGAGCAGCAGCATTTTATAAAGTCAGGCAATTTTATGAAGTTAAAAAGCTCAGAGCTTTGCGAGCAACAGTACAAGACCCAAGAGAAACACAATTGGATGTCTGCTACCTTAAGGAAGGTATTATAAAAAAAACAAGTCTGAGACTGGGCATGGTGGCTCACACCTGTAATTCCAGCACTTTGGGAGGCCAAGGTGGGAAGACTGCTTGAGCTCAGGAGTTCAACGCTAGCCTGAGCAACACGGCGAAACTCTATCTCCATAAAAAATACAAAAAAATTACCCGGGTATGGTGGTATGCACCTGTGGTCCCAGCTACTGAGGAGACTGAGGTGGGAGGATGGTTTGATGAGCCCAGGAGGAAGAGGCTGCAGTGAGCTGAGACTACACCACTGCACTCCAGACTGGGAGACAGAGCCAGACCCTATCTCAAAAATAAATAAATAAATAACAACAAAAAAACAAGTCTGTAAAACTAATGGGCAGAACAAGAAAAATATGCTTTTCATTCCACCTAATGCCTTAATTTGATTAATCCTTTCCAAACTATGAGGAAAATTGCTGAGGCTAAATTTCTGATTTTTTTTTTAATCAGAATAACTACAGTGGAGATAGGTTAACTAACTTACCACTAAGTGGATGACATAGCAGGGAAAAGAAGAATTCTAGAAAATTTTCTAGAAAATCAGAGGACCTGGAAAGCAGCCTTGGTTCTAGAACTTACTAGATACAGTATTTGGCCTTAAAGCAGCCAAGAGTCACCCTTTCAGTCCTAGTTTCCTTGCTTGGGAAAAAAGGAGAAGCCACAAATTCATTGGGACCGACTAAATAAGGGGTGTGAGAGGATCTCGATGCTGCAAAATCCTGCAGAATGCCTTTGCTACCACTGGGCACACAGGCTTTCCTGGTCTCACCTCAGTGCATTAACCTGCTATGCACAATTAGCTGATACTTTTCCAGACAGTTTTCAATCAGGAACAAACTATTCTGAAAGGTGGGGTGCCATGTGCTCTAGATATTCCAAAAAGCACCAAATCTTTGGGTGCTGGGTAACTTCAGCCAGCAAATATCCATCTTACTTCAAAGGGTATATTCCAGGCTACCATCCTCACTCTAGATCACTCAAGAGCCCTGTATCCGCTGGTCCTTATCAGGTCACAGTGATGTTACACACTCCTAAAAGGAAATTCACTAGGAAATCTACCCAGTGGAAAGATCACTTAGGGAGGTGTCTTGCTCTAGAGTCTCAAAGCAGACGTCAACCTGTTTCTTCAAACCTGACTTCAATCTGACTAGATCAGGTCAAGAGACTACATTTTAATTGTGACTCTCCTACTGGGTAGCAATGCTGCCCTGAATAAATCACTACTTCATGGCCTCGGTTTCTCTGATTATAGTGAGGGAATCATCTATGGGCTGAAGCTACAGTTCTCAAATCTGGCTGCTCATTAGAATCCTTTGGGAATCTTTTCTAGACTCCTGGACCTTATCTGAGATACTGGATTGGACTCTCCAAGGGAGAGCCAAATATATCTCATGTCCCTCCTACATGGCACAATTATGGATTATGAATGTCAAATAAGCTCAGCCACACTCCCTCCCACCTCCCCAGGAGCTGCCCACTCCTCTCACCTGTACTCCATGTTGCTGGCATTCTTACGAGTGGCACTGAGTTCCACCCCATTCTTTGTCCAGTAGCTGTATGTAAGGATGTGAGAGCTGGAGGTGAGGTTACACTGCAGGGTGACAGGGAGAACAGGGCTGTCTCGAATAATGACCTCTTCACTGGTGACAATCCTTGGTTCTGTAATAAGAGTGCACAATGATAGGGGGCAATAGCCTTCTATCCTCTGTAGCCCTGGCCTGAAATTTGGACGGGGTAGGAGGGGGAAACTAGAAAAAGAGGGAGGGCAGACAGGACCACATGAGGAATTTCACTTTACCACTTTGGAGGAAGTCAAGAAAGGAAAAACAATGATTATAAGCAAATGACCACTAGCGCAGACAACAGCCTGAAGACCAGTTGGCCTAGACGTGAAAGAATGGGAGTATTATGGGTGCTTGTACTGGCAACAATCCACTTATGCTTTTCAATACCCCGTTTTTATAAGAACCACCAAACAATTCGGCTTCAATTAGAAAACCAGGCTCCACCTTGCCATTCTGAAGACAAAGGCCATATCATTCATATACCTATTATAATAAATTCCCTATGGTGTCACTGGGCCTTGGAACAGTAATAATTACATAATACATGTATTGCTTTCCCCACGTTTAAATGTGAAACCTATGGCAAACCAGCCACGGCCATTATTTATGCAGAAAAAAGACACTGTGGATTCTAAAAAGCAAACTTCCTACTGGAAGTTGAAGCCATTTTGTAGAGGCAAAATTCTTGAGAAAGCATCATCAGTTACTCCTCTGTAGACATACTTAGTCCCAAAACAAGTTTTTTTTTTTTTTCTTTCAGAATTGCACTTTAAAACACATTCCATTCCGAGAGAATATAACTAGAGTGCAATACTGTGTTGGTATTATGGGCTCCTAGAATTTTAGAAAGGCCCTTAGAGTTCATTGAATCCCACTCTTTTTTTAAGAGCTGGAAAAGTAAAAATGATTTGTGCAAGGCCATAAGTATTACTAATGGCAAAGCTGGGCCTAGAAGACACATCTGACTGAATTCTCTATCCCTGCCCCCCCACCACCCCAAGACCACCCCACCACCATGTGCCCTAGGGCAAGGTATATATATATTTCACCTTCTGGTTCTATCCTGGGCTTAGATAACCTAGGATCACTAGCTTATCTACAAAAAATAACCTATTTGAGTCAAATATTATAATACATTGAACAGAAATGTTTAAAATCACACTATATTATTCCTGGAAGTTTCACCTTTAAAGCACTTTGAAATCCATCAGTATTAAAGTCAAGACATTTCTACATGTGTTGTCTTTTGTTAATGTGCTTTGTCTTTATTATTTCCCCACACTTAGTCCTTTCTCTACCTTTGGTCAAACATTTCCAGGTGAAGTCTAAACTAAGCATCTTTTCCCAACCACAATAAGAGGTATTTGCTGTCTGTTTTCCAATTCTCTCTCAGAAACCCTTGACTGACTTCCCATTTCCCTGTGTCTGGCTACTTCCTGTCTACAGCTCCGCAGCAGCTTCCCTCACCATTTTATGCAGTATTGTGCTGAGCCTTAACCTGAGGACAGAACTCTCTCCCTCCATGGGAACTAAGTTGCTTGCTGTTCAGGGACAGTGGAAGCATGGGGAAGTTGTGGATACTTGGGAAATGTAATGTCTTAAGGAGCTCCTAACCGATGTAACATTTCTGCCTTGTAGAGTTAATGTCTTTGAAGAATCTTGTAATAAAGCAAAACCTTAAGTTTGCTCAATTAACAAATTAGTTCTATTTTCCAACTCTGGCAAAAGGATAACGGTTATCTTCCATTCAGCACTGGTCCTTATCAGTAACATCAAACAGGGTCTCTATGTACAGATAATGGAGGCATAGCAGCCACTAAGACAGAAGCAGATGCATGTAAACACGTTAGCGCAGTGGTGTCCCATGGTTTCTAAGACACACTGGACAGAAGCCAAATCCCTTGGGCCTTAAGAAGTCGAGCAGAACGGCTGCAAACCCTGCAATGGAAGGCGCACACACACCATCAGCAGAAAGCATCACAATTCCAAGAAAAATCAAAACCAAGCAAAAACAAAAGAGAAAAAGATAGAACCAGTACTCCACAGAAGAGAAATTAAAAAAATATAAAGGCAACATTAAAACCCAAACACACTTAGATTTTTACTGAATTTTTATTATCCAATTTCATTTTCTGTCCCACTTGGGACTCTCCTTCTGGCTCTTCCTCTCAGATTGCACTGAGAAAGGGTAAACTCGGAGAATGAGGCCAAGAGCTTCCAGATGTTTAAATACAAGGAGGCCAAAGTAAATGCTACTCTTACCTGTGGTGATGCAAATGACCACTGCAGCTCAGGGAGATTAAGAAGTTGATGAAAGCAACCTGGTAGACTTTCTGCCAAGAATTCTTGGAAGGCAAAGGAAAGCACTTTTTCCCTTAAGGGTTAAAGATCCAGGAGAGAGTCAGCTGGGAGCAAGTGGATAATTTAAATAGGTTTAAATATGATTCTGCACCATAGGAGGTTTTGTGGGGTAGGGTAACCTGCCTCCTGTGATTGCTGTATATGAAAACTAGTGCTACACCTAGTTCCTTCATTCTGCACCAGGATGAAGGTGGGGCTTTTATTTCTGTGGCCAAGCACTGCCCAGTGAAAGTCCAAGAGAGATGAACATTTAGGATAAGCTCAAATGTGTTTACCTGCCACTGATTTCTACTTAAAAGCAGTGGGTAGCAGACCTTTACCCTAGCCATCATGCATATATAAAGAACATGCTAAGGTCAGAGAGATACCTAAAAACTGGGCACACTTCTCTTCCTGGCTTACATTACTCAAGGAGCACTGGGGAAAGAACAACCAGGAGGTCATTCTTAGATAGAACACTTAACCTCCCCATAGAGGAGTCTTTTGGGATGCTGAGATCATAAAACAATCCAATTAGAGTTGGATCCAGGGTGTTTTAAAAAAACAAACAAACAAACAAACAAAATAAGCAGCAGCAGCAGCAGCAACCTCCTGGCTCTCCAAAACAGCTAACTAGGGTTAACTGACTGATGGGAAGGACTGAAGAGAGTCTAGCCAGGATTTGGTTCAACCACATGCAGACAACCCTAAGTTAGGAGGCTTTTTCTAAGTAAATTGGGGGAATGCTATGTGTTCTTGGGATTGGTAGGTAGGTACCCGAAGCCTCATCTCTTTCTAGCCCCTTGGCATGGCTATTCTAGCTATGAGTCAGGCTCTTGGAAGTGTTACGTGCAAATGCCCAGCCCAGTCCATACCTACAAACTTCCACAGACCTTTGTGGCCATTTAGGTAACTCTGCTTTTATAAGGAAAGGAGCAAGGGGGCAGGAGAAGGAGGCGTGCAAGGGAAAAATATTGTTAAAAAAAAAATCACTGGGTTAATGTTCCCCATTTTCACACAGACAAGGTTTTCTTTTCCTCTTTCCAGAAGCAGGTTCTCTGATTCAACAGTGCTAACTGCAGCAGCCTCTCCTACCACTCGCCTACGAAGGACTCTTTTTTTCCTATAGGGATCTTCAAGTGGCTACAAAGAACAGATACTAATTTGCTATTTTCCATATAAGTATATAGACTCAAGGCCCATGTCTTACCACTTTCTGTATTACCAAATTCCTCATCAAAGTAAGATTTTACTAGTCTTACTTTCTCTAGGTCAATCAGCTCTTTAAGCTAGAATTGGCTATAGATCTCTCACTGTGTCCTCAAAGAGAAGGTGAAAGACCCAGAAGATCTTTCCAAAAGAGAATGCCCCCTCAACCATAACCAGGTCTGATATGGGTCCAGAACTCATCTTGGCCAGGAACACTGGTTCTGTGGTGACTTCTCCCTCCCTTTGCTTCCCAATGTAAAGTAGCAAGTCACTTTCGAGAAAGAGAAAAGAGTGGCCACAAAAGTCCTGGTGTCAGATGTACACAAAAGTCCAGGTGTAACGCATACCTGCTTGTTACAAGGGGAGGATTCTGAGCCAGCTGTTCAGCTCACCCCATTGCTATGAGAAACAGGGGTGGAAGTTAGTTTCCTCTTTTGTCAAGACACAAAGAAAAGGCCAGTGTGAGTGGTCTCCACACTATGTCTGGAGTTTCTATCCTCTGGGATAAGGCACACTGTGCCAATAGCAACTCATCAGAGTCAAACCATGAACAGAAATCAAATGCAACTCTGACTTCCAGACAGAGATGGGTTAAAAATAGTAATTTTTGTGCAAGGGGAAAATATTGTTTAAAAAATGGGTTAAAAATAATAATTTGCAGCTTAGTGTCACGTGGCTCCTAACAGCAAAACATGAAGGAAGTCCCAGGCTGCTGCTTGTAAGAGGAGACTCATGAGCAGGCCTAGTGAGGAGTACACTGCTGCAGCTGAGGGCTGTTATCAGAGAAGCACATGCTCCGGTTTTAGAAAAGAAAAAGAGCTGGAACTACGAAAATATCCAAGCTTACATGCCACCCAACAACCAAAACACACCACCACACTGCACCCATGGCAACATTCCCATCACAGAACAAGATGACACCAAGTCACAGTAAGGGAAGAGGCTGGGCAGACACAAACTTAAAACCATAGAGGTGAAGGCAGCTACTTAGAGAGCTTCGAACAGAAGAACAGAAGAAATAAAAAGTAGTTAGACTGGGGAGAGAAACAAAAATAGAAAGGCACCAGAGAAGAAATCAGCAAAAGTATAGCAGGAAACCTACTACAAAATCAAAGGGGAGAGAAAGAAACCATTTCAACACTACCCTCCTTGGACTGCCTAGTTTTGTGAGTTTTAATTTTTTTAAAGCTTCCCAGTTCTCCCTCCCCAACTCTCCCCAACACAGATGATTTTGAACAGTCACGGATTTCCTCAAGTTCTTTGTTCCTGAGAAGAAAGACACAGAGAAGGGTTGGGGGATAAGGGAGGCAGAAAGGACAGCAAAGAAAAGAAGAAAAAAAGTTGCCACAGATGTTTTCATACACTACAACCAGAAGGGTCATGGGTTTGAAAAAAAACGAAGACAAGGGGTGGGGTGAGTGATCATACTGGGGAAGAAGGAAAGGAAGCAGAAGGGAAGGGTCATCGGGCCACCTCTAATGACTACAGTACTACTACTGTAGGGTGCTGGACTCACTCTGAAGGACGCTTATGGTGGCCTGGGCTCGAATCCATGTTATGGAGGGGTTTTGCCTCAAGTCATTCCTCTTGGGGTCGTTGCTGGCCCTGCACTCGTAAGTCCCAGAGTCCTCCAAGGTGAGCCGGGTTATTCTCAGCACACTCACGCCGTTTGACCCGTAGGCGGTGTTTACGGTGACACGGCGCTTCCGAGCACCGTCCCACAGCTGTCTGAAAGACTCTGCCCGGTTGACTTCTGCGTACCACCACTGGATCTCTGGCGTGGGGCTCCCGACCACGTCACAGTACAGCTCAAAGGCGTCCCCCGTGAGCTTAGTTTCTGACATGGGCGACTTGACAAACCCAGCTAGAGGGAGGGGGAGCAGGAATGCAGTGACAGGCCAATCAGAAAAAAAAAGAATCAACAGCTGTTAATAGTAATTTAAAGAAAAGAAAAGAAAAAAGCAAATGAGTTGCAAAGAACAAAAAAGGATTCATTTTTAAACTATAAAGAGACAGTACAGCAATTCATACAAGCTTTCAGAAGAAGAACCACACCCTGGGAAGCTTATGAAGCAAAGGCAGGCTAATTACAAGCTGGGGCAGCCCAGGTGCTGGCCAGGCAGAAGCAAGCCCACTGGAAAGCATTTTAGCAATGGGCCCAGCTGGTAGGAATGAGAAAGCCTCAGGTCTTGGAAAGAGCCTCTTTCCTTAGAACACAAACCATTTATTACCTTTTCAAACTCAGGCAAGTGATGAAAGATAACCAGAAGAGGCAGTAGTTTTTTATATACCAAATCAGGGTCTCTCTTTTGGATGGGTAAACGCTTTGTTAGAAATGCAGTGTCTTTTGTAAGCCTCTACAGGAAGTATTAACTGACCTACTGGTGCCTTCTCTTGGGATTCAAAGTCCAAATTTCAACTGAAAGAGTAGCAAATTTCTCTCTCACACAGAATTCTATCCTGGGTTCAGATTAGACTTTTTCCACCTCCTATTCTTCCCTGGGACTATGGCAAACAAACACCCAGTTGTCTATATTAGGCAGCCTCTTCCTGAATGCAGACCCTCAGTCTCAGGAGAACAGGACGGCCTGTACTTCACACCACAGTGAGATATTAATACTTTGTGGGTCAGCTCAGAAGTGGGACCAACAATACCAGCAACCCAACTCATTGCCAGCGAATGGAGGGACTGTGCCCTCCATAACCCCATAGGTCCATTAACTAGAAAAATCTGAAAAGCCATAGTATTTGAAAGGCTCTACATAGTTGAGTTGCCTGGCTTCTAGAAGCCAGCTCAGAAGAGTAAGAAATGTACACTGATGAATTAAACTAAACACTAGGGTAAAAGGCAGGCCTCAGCCAACATTCTCAGGCACTACCCAGGAACTAAAGTTGATGCCTACCTCCAACTGCCCATAATTTGCTTGAGATTACACTTCCATAAGACAAGGTGAAAATGGCAGGAAGAGTTAAAAAAAAAATCCAGGCTTATTTTAAAAACTTGAAGTTAGGTCCATAGGAAACAAAATCAAGAGTGCAAGCACACTCTCTCCTACCCTTCCACTCCACCTACGGTTCGTTCAGCATTTCTATCAATTTAGACAGTATCCTACAGTGTAAGGCAAGAAGCTAAAAGAGGGCATTCCGATTGGCTTGGAAACTTCCCTTGGGAGGCCTGCTGCATGAGCCAAGCCAGCCCCTCTACAGTGAGCAGGGAGTGAGGTCAGATCTGCCAACATCAGATTAAGAACATTCCACAGGAAAGGATCAACTAAATGGAACCGTTTTCCTATAGTCCAGAAGCCAAGGATGTAACAGAGCTAGCTGAAAACAGAGGTTACTAAGTGGAAAAATTCCTGTATACATTCATAGCAGTATTTGCCTTTGGTGATAACCTCACGCCATGGACTAAGAACATTAACGGAGGTTCTGTATTTGCTCAACTAGAGGCCAAGACCTCCAAATTCATACTAGTCTTTCAATTCCTGACATTTTTAGAATGTGGGGAGCACAGGAATGCAGTGATTAACAGGTTTAGACTAAACGTTCTGCCTTTAATATGCCATTTTAAACTACCTCTTCGGATCCAGCATGCATTCCTTGTAAAGAAATATCTACCAGAGGCCCTAAGAAGCCCAACAGATGTCATTCTCAGATGAAGGAGAACTTTTAGAATTACAGAAAGGAGCCCCCAAGCTCCTGCATGAAGAACTGAGCTCACTGACAAATAAAGTGTTATCCAAAGAGCCATGTCTCAGTCTCACAAACCACCACCTGCCCCACCTGTCAAAGTCAATGCCAGCTAATATAAAGAAAGAAGTAAAGGAAGCTGGTTTCATTCATTTTACTACTGGTTCAATCACCAGAGAAAACTGGGTATCAGTAAATTCCTGAAACGCAGTAAAAGTACCATTCTGTTTTAATCATATTCTTGACCATAAGTTGTAATCACAAATTATCTTATTATCACATTATCTGTGAACTTGGGGAGTTTCAGCCTCTCAAATGCTGTAATTATGTACTTGATTATGCCCTAGAACTGTTAGTGGATTTCTTTTGTACTTTTTCTCTTCTTCTGTATTGTACTTCAAAGAAGGCCTAGACTTAAGTCTTTTTGTCAATCTGCTGACCATGCTACTGTAAAAAGGGTGTCTGAAAGTATCCTTTCACCAAGAAGCCATCCAATTCCACTGTAACCCCAAGTCCCGATACTGCACAATTCATAGGTAGCCAAGAAATAGTCTGACTGTGATTCCCACTGTGCACAACTAAGCGAGTCACTCGGCCTGATCATGCCACCCTAGGCAAGACTTCTTGCTAAGAAAAAGGAATGCTGATCTGAATCCGTTCAATTTTCTACCTGTATCAAGGAAAACGGGACCAAGACAAAAATGTTCTTTGCATTAGTAAATTATATGATGTATGTTTAAACAAACTTTTAAAACACAAGATAAAAAAACCCTTTAAAATGCCAACAATGGACATTTTTCTGTGCTCTCTTTGAAGGCCATTATTATATTATTAGACATATATGGTGACATTTTCTAAGTATGCGTTATATGTTAGGCAATGTACTAAGCACTTTACCCATTATCTCACAACAGCTTTATGTGATAAGTGCCACTATAATTCCCTTAAAGATGTGGAAACTAAGGTCCAAAAAAGTTAAATATTTTGCCCACAGTCACAAGCTAATAATGAGAGTCTGGCCTGGAATCCAAAGGTGTCTCAAGTGAAAGCATGGTCTCTAAACATTTACCACAACTGCGGCCAATGTATCTCACTAGCCTGAAAAGATTTTTGTATTTACTTAAAAGTTAAAGATAGGCTTTGTCACCACTTAGTTTAATAAATACATAATTAATTAATAATTCTTGGCCACAAAAAGCCAGGAACCTTTGACCTTTGCAACATACTATGATCGATAACTCCTTAAAAGTATAATCTTACTAAGGAATGGAGATAGAGAAGCAATGAGTCAAAGAGTTCCTTAAAGCAACTGGGGGAGGGTGAACAGTGTGAAAAGATAAGAAAAGATGACTCTGAGGCAAGACTGCCTCTGGTTCTGATGATTCCAATGCCTTGCTCTGGAGAAGGCTGGCTTCAGAGAAGGAAGTAATTCACAAGACACTGGAAACATTTATCTGGTGTTGTAGTCAGGAGCCAAATAAATAAAGGGCAGCATCTGAAATTTTTATAAAACTTTGCAGTTTGCAAAGTGCTTCCACATACATCACATCTCATTTCATTCACACAGTTCCACAAGGTTCATAGGTGCAGAGACAGGTTCACAACCTGCCTAAGATCACTTAGGCAGCTAATCCTGGGCGGGGCTGGGACTAGAACACAGGTCTTCAGCTTAGTCTAGGGTTCTTTCCAATAAATTGTGCTGACTCTAAACAAACTAAGGAATTCCTTGATAGCTGAACACTCATCAAAAACCATGAAAACAAATCTATTTCCCCTCCAAACAGCATGGAAAAGAAAGAAAAGAAGAGAAAAAGAAAAGAACCCTCAACACAGTACTGTGAAATCACATTTAGCAAGGGAAAGTTATTAGCAACCATCCACCTCATTATCCATCCAAAATTAGCTTCAATTCAGGAAAAGAACCAGCACTCAGCAGCAGCAGGAGGTTCAGAGCCTGACTCACTGCCTGCCTTTCATTGCTAAGGGTTTTCAAACAATTATGTACCTTCAACAAGAAAGCACACACTGCCTAAAGTTGGGAGGCCAACAGAAGTATCTGTTTCTCTCTAGGTCAAGGGTCATCCAATATTTTGGAAAAACCCTAAATTTCAGAAAACAACCCCCACCCCACCCTCTTCCCCACCATCATCTCCACCCACTGTCTTAAGTGACTGGGCTAAGATCTGCAAGAGTTTTGAGAAAGTATTAGTATCAGTGCATTCCCAGCAACAATGATAAAGAGGGGAACAGAACAGTAATTACTGGCTTTGAGGGAGGAAGTGACTACAAGCTGATGTTGGAGTGGGTAGCGGGCAGAGCATTAAAAATGGAGGAAGCAAACCCAGGAGAAGCATAACGAAAAATTGCATAACTGGGGATGGGGGATGGGAGGCAAAGATGACAGCTGGGACTAGCAGCCGGAGAAAAGGAGGAGCTCGCTGGCAGGAAAAACTGGAAGTGTAGATATGCAGCAGAGGGTGAGAAGAAAAAGGGAACACAGAAGAGAGGGTTGAGCCCAATCCCAGGAAAACTGCTTTCATATATGCCCTAAGGAAGTAAAAAATGCTAGCCTAGCCCTACATAGGAGAGACCATCATGATTTTTCATATTTACCTCCAGGGCAACCACGCAACAAGAAATCAGACTAACTTTCTCTCTCCCTCAGCTGACTACTGCCACAGCCAGGCCTTTAAGTCTTGTCTGCTTTTGTCACCTTTTTTAAAAACAGCTGTTCCCTTCAAGCCCCCTCTACCTCTCATTCCCTGTGGTTGGCTCATGCTGTTCTTTCCTTCATGCCTCGCAATGAAGAGAAAATGACAGCCAAGGACATAGAGCATTTCTCTCCTCTGCCTCTGTCTCTCTCTCACACACAAATTCAAATCATCTACCTCAAAATAAAGACTGAGTAAGCTCCACTGACATCTAAATGTGAATATAGGGAAGAACCCTTAACTGCTGTGAGGCTGTCATAGATTTGAGCCTACACAAACTACTGAAGAGCCTGCCTATCCTTCCTGTTAATCAAACAGATCATTCATCACTATTCCTCAACACCAAAGGCAGGTCGGAAGTCTATATGTACTCATTCTATGTGTACTGACCAAGAGTAAGGCAGGCTTGAAGCTCTGGGAGCAGTGGAAATGCGGTAACCTCATTCTCTGCAGCAGGACAAGG